CCCCCTCCCATTTCCCAACCCCCCCCTCCCCATAAATAATGACCACTCCCTAACGAGTTATGAATAGAATTCGTATAAATGACCAGTTATTAGAGTCGTAATAAGTTTAATACAAGTTGATATGACGAGTTGCATTGTGAGTCGTAACTGCATGTTTATTTTTCTTTATTAAAATATTTTATTGGATGCTGAATTCTGAAATGAATAATGAATAGTTGTCGAAACACTCGTGTCGCTATGATACCTACTAAATTAGGACGAAACTTTTCCAGCCATATAGGCTATTGAACATTTGTGCGAATGAAGATCCGAGATTTCGGGTCGAAATAATCGAGGTGCTTTATACTATAGCAAAAAGAAGACAGATAGTTTAAGAGCAGCGAGGGAAAACTTGTTTAGGAAATGAAAAGAATTCAAGCAGTTCTAATACTCGTTCTTTTATTAAAAGGTGCCGAAGGGAATACAAGAGAAAGGGTCTACAAACGATGTAAGTAAAATAAAATAAAAGGAAAGATAAATTTTAATTTGAACAAAAATTTGAACAAACGTTTTAAGATTAGAAAATACAGCCGTGAAAAACGACTCGTATATCTGACCACGAAGCAAAGCTACGGTGGAAGGAAAATTCCTACTAAGTACTGTTCAAAAGCATCCACGGAAAAGAACACGCAACATTTTCTTGGCTTCGCTGTGACGGGCAACAAGCCAGACATGCGCAAATTTTGCTAATATATGTGAGGTCGAAGTTCTCCTTGTATTATCAGATAGTTGTATCCATATCAATCCAATTTTGATTTCATTTTCTATCCAAGGGATGGATAGATTCCTTTCAGGATCAGCGCAAGCATTTCTTCGTTCGCTCAGATTTTTTCCAACCGAGAAAACGCTGCACTCTGATGATCAATACATAAAGAAAGACGAAATAACGCCAAACTATGATTCAATCGCAAAAACCGATGTTCAAAACTTTCCAAGCACGGAACAGACGAAGAAAATGATGTTCGCCCTGTTTGGAGACGATGGCCTTTTTATGAAAGAACATTTTGAGCGCTCTGGGGAAATCGACATTGAAGGTTGTCAATTAACTAAGGTTTCAAATCATTTTTAAAAAAATAAGTTTATTTATACTGAATATAAAACGACACATACTCCGTTACAGATTCATGCCTCGCAGTTTATCAATATATACCGACCCAAAAATCTCATATCTTGTAGCAAGTCTGTCAACAACACGTGTTCGCTCTGCTTGTCCCAAGTTGTCAACAAGTTTGGGCCAAGCTGTTAACAACTTGTAACAACCTTGTTGATATTATCAGACTTGTTGCAAGGTTGTTCCAATAAGTCCTATACAGTCATGATATAACAATATTGTTACAACTATATTATGACTGTATCAGAACAACCTTGTAACAAGTCTGATAATGCGATCAAGCTTGTTGGAAGCTGTTAACGGCTTGTTCCAAACTTGTTACAACAACTAGGAACAACAAGTGCGAACACAACTTGTCGACAGCTTGTGAACAGATTTCTATAACAATTTGTTTGCAGACCTGTAACAACTTGTGCGTTTTTACGTGTGTAATTCTTACCGTGATCTTGACAAAACAGCGAGATATGAAATTATATTCCCGTCCTTGATCTTCTGTCACGACGAATTTTGCCAACAAAACATTCGTTCTGAACGAAGGCAGATGAACGAAGACGGGATATGGATTCATGTCTCGCTGTTGAAATCTAGTCCAGTCCGAACTGGAGGATTTGAAATGACATCTCGTACGAATAAATCACTATTTAAAGTGAGGCGAATTGACCATTTGCGTAATAGACTAAATTTTGATCTCAACAAAAATTTCAATACAGCTTGAAAGAACATCACAAAATTAGTAATATTCCAAAATTTCGTTGCAAAATGTTGTAAAATGCGGAAAATATAGCCTTGCGAAGTTTGCAATTTTCAGTCATTTTAGATTACAAACCGGAAATTGACAGCCTCGAAGGGTTTGGGGCTGTCAATTTCCCGTTTGTAATCTAAAATGACTGAAAATTGCAAATTTCGCAAGGCTATATTTTCCGCATTTTACAACATTTTGCAACGAAACTTTGGAATATTACTAATTTTGTGATGCTCCTTCAAGCTGTGATGAAATCTTTGTCTAGACTTGTTTAGTTCAAAATTTAGTCTATTACGCAAATGGTCAATTAAACTTGATCCAGTCCAAAGAGTCAAGGACTGAATTAATTTTGATGCAGTCCTAGGCCAGGATCAATACACTTCACCAGGTATCCAGTACTATCATGTGAGCAAAATAAAGCAATTATGGTTGGCTAATTTACTCATGAATTATTAATGAGTTCGAGATAATTCCTTCATTTTCCTAGGACCGGCTCTAATGACGATATGGAAAATCTTTCCTAACAAGAGCGTTCTTTTGGACGAACTTCACACTTCAAAAAATACAAGCATTGGCTCGAGTGTATTCTCCGTCCTTACACAAATGTTATTTCTTCCACAAGATGTATCAAAGCTGGAAACATGGTTAATGAAAGGCATCGAAATCGGGGATGAGGAAAATAACATCGCTTGTGGTCCGAAAGTTGTTATTAATTATAAATGTTGTGAGACAACGGGAGAACCGATATTAGCCCCAGAATTTGGTTCCATAGAAATGGGAATGGATTAAAGTTGGTCGCAGTACAACATTATAATTAACTAGAATTTAAAAAAACTCATAATTCATGAGGAAAAGACAAACAAAACACTAGCGTGTCGGTGGTTTATATGTGATAAAAAATCATGTTCATTTACATATTAAACTTTAGCTTTGATTTTCTCGGCTTAAGCCCGTTCTCCACTACGCGAATTTGTTCGCGCGACGCGAAGCGAAAACCGAAATCCGGCAACGTGATTGGTCGGCGAAAAAATTCGCGGCGAAAAAGTAGGATCGCTTCCTACTTTTTATCTGTTCGCGCGAATAAATTCGCCTAGTGGAGAACGGGCTTTAGACAACGTTGATTTTTAAAATTACTTCGCCAATGAACTCATCAGATGGGTCGTTTTTTTAAGCCATTTAAGACGCTCGCAGTCTGTACTTTACAGGGATGGATTTACTGGGGGGAGGGGGTTCGGGGTGTGTGCACCCCCTAGACCCGAGAGGGGGTACAGGGGGGTGCCATTTTTCATGATAAAGCAAAAAGATATTAGAGACAAAATGAGGATACAGTAATTTGAGTAATAATATGATGATAAGCGAACTGTGAACAACAATTACAATTCAAATACAGTAGTCAAGTAAGACTTTGCAGTAGTGAAGCAAGTTGATGGGCGGGCGGCACACATGACCGACACAACTCGACACCAGAGCTGGCAGAGCACCCTACCAGATCATGCTGGATCCATCCCTGGTACTTTATCAGATATAAGACACTCGATTGTCGCGTCGTGTTTCATATTTGATAAAGCACTTCTGCTCGTGTTCTAAATAATTATAGTACATTGACTTTCGTTATAAAAAAGCGAAAGTTAACTAAGTTAAGTGAGATATACAAACGGAAAACAAAAAGCCCTAGGCCTAGCGGTTATACACTTCATGTTAGCCAAATGTTGGAACAGTCAATTCCATATTCTGTGACTCAGTTAATGAAAACAGAGTCTATATATTACACTACATACAATAAAATCTAATCATAACGAAATGTGAGTATAGAAAGCTATAAAAAATTTAAAATATCACCGTAGGACTTCGTCGTGTTATACTTCGCCCAAATGCGATATCAATCATCCTATAAAAGATTAACAAACATCATGAAGCTTTAAACACTTTGAAAACACAAGTGGAATTAAATCTTAATTTTACGCTCGAGGAACTATGCGATTGTACTTGTTAATCATAGAGGGTAAAATTTATTCGTATAAGTAAATTGTGAACTTGTCAAGTTCTTGAACCTTGTATGTCTCCATGTCTTCGCCGATGTTCCTTAATTAATGCTGCCCATTTCTTAATAACTCCAACCCATAAATTTGTACTTTTGCTAGCGTTCAAGTTTCTACCAGTGAACTTTACATAGAGTTCACTGGTTTTCACCAGACGTTTTTAATAATTCTTCAATAACATCATTATCCGCGACGACAAAGCGAGAAGCCATTCTTTGTATTGCTATTTAAAACAAGAAACCTCCCGCGCTTGCGTCTCAGCCAATCAGGTACATGTAATTTCCCCCTGAATTTTGACTACATGATGATCAGCGATGTCAACGGGAGATAACCAATAAAGCCCTGGACAAACTAGGAAACATTGTTGCGGAAACATTGTTTCCTACCAATGTTTCGCCATGTTTCCCAGAGTGGGCAAACAGTAGGAAACATTAGTGAGAAACATAGGGAAACATCAAATGTTTCTGAAGTTTGTAGGAAACATTTTTGCTTCCTGGGAAGCAAATTTTGTTTCCGCAACAATGTTTCCACGGGTGGGCAAACATGGAAACATTTGAGGAAACATCGAGAATCACAAATGTTTCCGCAACAATGTGTCCTAGTTTGCCCAGGGCTTAAGGCCAGGTTACCGATTATCGGCTTCTTCCGATAAAAACCGATCATCATCGGCTCATATCAATAACTGCTATCTTAATTTTTATCATACACCCACCTTTGTTGAGCTGGCTAACAGTTTTTGAATGCGTGACACTTGCTCAATATTATCGCTCATTGATCCACGACCCTAAAACAATAACAGCTTCATTAGTAAAAAAATAGGTACGTAAGCGTACCTAACCCATTGAGTAGTATTGCGCCCCAAAGCGCCCAGCCTCGCGGCTGCTGAGCAGGCTACAAAGCGCCCTACTTTTATTATTTTACTCTGTCTGGTATCTAACGCCAGACGATTTTATTCGTCAAGGGGAGAGCGCTGGCACTTAAAGGATTAACCCATTGAGTGTTTTAACCAGTGTTTTTTTTTCGAAACAATCGCATAATATCGAATATTTGCATATATATTATTCGAATATTATTTGCATATAGATTGCATATTATTCGAAAATTATTCACATATTATTCGCATATATTACTGGCATATTTTTCGCATTTTATTCCCATATTGTTTGCATATTATTCAAATATTATTCGCACATATTGTTCGCATCACTACGGCATTTAAAAATCTATACACGAACCTTTGTCGGAGTGCGAAGTTGTGATATGGTTAAACCTTTGCTTTGCAGAAGAGCGCTTTCTGACTAGAATGAAAAATAATTGGCTGATATTAAATTATAAAGTTGGGTGGCAGGTCTGCGAACCCACATGTCATTTCCCATGCTCATTCTCAGACTAGTTGGGCAGCCTCCCTGTGAAAAAAATGTTAGGTCTCGATTCATTTGAGAAGCCATATAAACAACTCGAGCTCGTGTCTCACCGGGATATCCAAACGCTCGAAAACGCGCTCGTGTTTTCATACATTGATTCGCGCTCGTGTTTTCATACATTGTTTTCTCGTGTTTGGATATCCCGGTGAAACACTCGCTCTCGTTGTTCATATATTACATCCATGATACCAGTAAGCTGTATAAACATCTGCAGTAGGTAGGAGCGCGCGTCCAAAAAATGAAGCCAAAGATGACGGTACTGTTTTTGATTTGCTGTGTTGGTGTTGTGTACTCAGGTGAATATGATGTTTGTGATGTTACTCTGAGTGTGTATCCACACCGGGCAAGCTTGAAAAATATGCCCGGCCACGGTGGGAATCGAACCTACGACCTTTGGAATACTAGCCCAATGCTCTGCCAACTGAGCTACGCGGTCAGGTCGGTACTGTTTTTGTCTGCGTTTTTAACACAAGGCTACAAGGAGTGCCAAAATTTCGTGTTTTGACTGAGAACTTGATTAGTGATATGATCCGTTAGAAAAACTGGAATCAGCTGGGGAAATGAAATTTCATTTGATAATGCACATAGATGGGAAAATGTGATTTCAACCCGAAATTTTTAATCGGCTCGCATTTGGTCATTTTTGCTTGAAATGACACAAGAAAGATGTCATTCGAAAGCTAAAACCCTAATCTTTATTTTATATTAAAAAATAAATCACTCAACATTGAGCGCACAAGAGCACTTTAAAGCTGGATCTTTTTTATATATCCCTGTATATTCCTGACTTGCAATGATGTGGGCGACGGCCATGTTTCAAAAAAAGAATCTCATGGCCGCCGTGCCATTGTCTTCTAATTCTCAAGGGATCGATTGCAAGTCAAGAATAGAGTTCAAGTCAAGAATACACGCTACGATATTAAAACTTGCTAGTAATAAGATCTCTTACATGACGAGTGTTCTTTGCTAAACTCTCCTTATCTGAAGTTTTCTTCAAGTTCTCATTTTCAGCTCTCAATTTCTTTACGCGATCTTGTAAATGTTTTAGTAAATCCGCACTGCTCGATTTCTCGCCTGACCGAGAGGCTGGGTTCACATTAGGGGACTGGGTTACGCCATTTGATGACGTGGTGATTGTGCTTCGTGTGATATCTCGCTTCGCTTTATAAGGAGTGCTGCTTGATGCCTAGGAACGGAAGATTAATGAAAATTATGAATGATTTCAGCTATACACGAAATTTTGATCTACAGGGTGTATCAAAAAAAGCGCAATCCTCGACTGAAATGTAAATTGCTAAACAAATAATAGACGAAAACGTTAAAGTTTACATTAATTTTAAAGCGTGGCCATTCAGCTTTCTAACAGTGGGTTGTTTCTTAAATTTGACTCATTGGTTCGCGGGTAATAATACTTTACGTTATTGCGATTGGAGATCGAGATGCGATATAATTTTGGCTTGGACTATCTAAGCTGACTGACATCAACTTGTTATAATTTCTGTTTACATTACATCGCAATTCGATGACACTCTGGCTCAGACACCAGAACGTTTTGACGATTTTTAGCATTCGTTTAGGATTTTCAAACAACCTGGTCTCTTTTAAAATACTTTTAATTTGTTCTTACGTGTTTTTCCAGATGTAGTGACGACAACATTAAAGTTTAAAGAAGAAAATTCTAACATTTAAACCGACTAAACAATAACATAGTAAACATGCATAATTAAACAACAACTAAAAATGATAGGTTTTACTAAATCTTTTCCTGTGCAATTATTACTAGCATTGGAGACAAGGATAATAGTTTGTTTGAAAGAGAAAAGAACAGGCTTTGAAGTAAGCCTAAAAGAGTTTAACTAGAAATAGTATTTCGAAAGTTATTAAGCACAAAAGATGAATTGCGTTTATTTTGATACACCCTGTAGACAACAAGAACGAAACCCATTAACTTAGCTGGAAAGAGCATCTTAAAATGAGTAAAATTGCAAAGTTTGGTTGCGAATTGTTGTAAAATGAGGAAAATATAGTCCTGTGAAGTTCGCAAATTTTGTATATATTTGTATTACGCGCGGGACAAATAACCATTTTTGAGCCGAAAGTGGTTATTTTCACCGCGTGTAATACAAATATATGCAAAATTTGCGAACTTCACAGGACTATATTTTCTTCATTTTACAACATTTAGCAATCTTTGCAGTTTTACTCATTCTAAGACGCTCTTTCTAGCTGTGGTGTTGGATTTCGTTCTTTTTGCCTTGATCAAAATTTAGTCCATAGCTGCAATCACCCATTAAATCAAAAGCAGGGCGGATCTACCGTGGGAGTACGGGGGAGGGGGTGCGCAACCTTGCAAAGTGGTGTCTAGCACCCCCTAGAGAAGTCCAGCACCACCCTAAAAGAACTTGCTTGACCATACATTTTCTGCCTTTCGAATAGCGGACTTCTATTTGAGGTGATTCAATTTAATGTTTCGACATACCTTAGTTGCGACGAGTTTCTGAAACTCTTGTTCTAGTTTAGTAATAGTTCTTCTGTAAGACTGTCAACGGAGAAGATAATTAACAACATCATTAACATAAGTGGGAGCTAAGTTGTAAATAAATTGAGAATCTAAAGAAGCTTTTTTATATAGAGTTACGTATTAACCTACAAGTGATGACTCGCTTCTTAGAAATGTGCTTTTCTCGCTTTCGAGAGTTATCCATGCATTTTGATTTGTTATGAATTGCTTTTGTCACTGGCCCACGTGCATGCACATATATTTCACTTGGGATTAAAATGTAGGTTTTTTCAACCTCCCCTTGGGAAAGTTTCAATGATAAATGAAAGTGAAAATTTGACATTTTTTGGTTGCTTAGGGTCTACACTTCGTAAGAAAGGTTTTTCTGTAAAATTGAAACAGTGATAGCCATTCATCACTGTGACAAGTACCCTTTTAATGCGATGTTTTGAAAGAAACTTTGCAGTAATTGTAATGAATGGCAAAATTGGATGAGTTGTGCAGTCATAATTCATTAATACGCTGGTACATATATGTACACTACATGCATACGTCACGTCGTTGACTTTGGCCCGTTCTAAGCCCTAACTTTCCATGGGGGTCGTGAGCTAAACCGCTGCACCTCCCGTACTATTCCTATTTTTTTCCACCTCCCCTCACTATTTCCACCAAAATCCGATCTTGACGCTCATCAACTTTAATTTTCGTTTGACCAGAGCTTTAGTGACCAGAGCTTTAGTCAAATATGTTTAAAAATAATTCCGTTATAGTTTATACCAATTGTTCTTTTTTCTTTTCATCTTTCAACTTCTCGATTTCTTCATTGTGTCTTCTGTAAAAATCAGATAAAGTGTGTCATAAACTAAGGTTATTTAAAATCAAGGATGGATTTACTGGGGGAGGGGGGGTGCGCACCCCTGGCCAGAGGGGGTGCAGGGGGGGGGGGGTGCTATTTTTCATAAAGCAAAAAATGACTAGAGACAAAATGAGATACAGTAATTTGAGTAATAACATGATGATAAGCGAACTGTGAACAAGAATTACAATTCAAATACTGTAGTCAAGCAAGACTTTGCAGTAGTGAAGCAGTTGATGGGCGGGCGGCACACATGACCGACACAACTCGGCAACAGAGCTGGCAGAGCAACCCCCCTACCAGATCATGCTGGACCATCCCTGTTTAAAATCAACAATGGAGTAAAAATGTTTAATTCATACATTTGACTAGAGGACATGAGAGAGAGAGTGGAAAGTCTTCTATGAAACAGAATAAATCTACCTTTGTAGTCGTTGAATTTCATCCTCCTTTGTAAAAAGAAATACAGTTGCAAAATAAATAAAAACGTATATTTCTTTAGGGTATATACTTTAATCAACGTTACTAAATCTCTATTATACCTTTCCGGTCAGACGTGTTCTCAGCTCGGCTACCTCGTTATTACTTGTTAAACAGCTGGTTTCCTATCAAAAAACAATCTGAGCTTTAGTACATATAGAATTAATCCTCTAATTATTTGAATAAAACTTACATTGGCGTGATCGGTCTGTGTTGATTGTTTGGCCATCTGTTTCTTCATGTCAGAAAGACGTTGACGCAGCTCGTCGTTACATTGACGTAAACTTGCCTTCATGAGAAAAATTGTTATCATGTTATGGAAACGTGTTTTTTTTCAGTGACAGACAAGGCCATCCTTTTCCAATGATATTTAAAAACCTTATATGATAGCAGATGATTTTTAAGCTAGTGAGTTAGGGGCTGGGGGGTGGGGCTGATCTCCCAATATTTTTGAAGATTGCATATTCATAACCTGGAAAGTTCTTTGCAACTGTAGTTAGTGTTGAAATGATGTGGTAATGATGCGTTAGTAATCTGTACTTGATTACTATTATCATACTATCAGGTCACGTATGTGGCTCCAACATGAAATAGCTTCGAATTCGGTATATTGGAATATTTTATTTGAAGTTAAGTCCTTTCTTCAAAAAACACTAATTAAAAATATGCTGATGCAGGCGCTTACCAGTGCTTCTTTAGTGGGACTCTCTCTATTATTGCCACCAGATTGTTCGTCTGAAAATCTTAGATAAGAAATGTAATCATTGTAATAACAAATCCCTTTATTACTAAAATCAAGCAACATGAATTTCATAATTACATCACACAATATGTACCTGGTCGGTGTTTTATAAGACAACGGCATATCAACCATCTCCGCAATCTTACGACATTCTTCATAAATTGCTTTCGCTGTCTCTTGGTCAATCTTTTCAAGTTTATCTGCTTGAACTGTGAACTGATCACGAGTAAAAAATATAATTGAAATAATAAGTACATTCATCAGATACCCGTGTTACCGTTATCTATTATTAAATACTGTTATTATCTTAATTAATCGTAAACGTCATAACCAACCATCCGATCATCACGTCACGACCATCATGACTGTCATCACCATCGTCATAATGATCACCACCACCATACTCATCATCACCATTACCACTATCGTCACTACCACCAACCTCATCGTCACCACCACCACCACCAACCCCATCATCATCATCACTATTATCATCACAATCACCATAACCAGTGGCAAAAATAGCAACAGGTTATGCTATGCAAATTTTTAATGATTTTTGCGCGTTCTAAGTCTATATCATGCAGCGCCGATTTCTCACTCCTGCTTCGTTTCTCATATAAAACAATAAGCAATTCCAGCTTTTAGTATATGCCTGCAGGGGATGATGGGAAGTAAGGTATCATATTGCTGATTATGCTAAAAAGTTTCAATAAAAACTACCGAAACAACCGAAATATTTCAATATTTACAAGTATAAGCTATCACTCCGTGTTTACACGGCCACCATTTTATTTTTTCAGCATAATCAGCAATATGATACCTTACTTCCCATCATCCCCTGCACGCATAAACTAAAAGCTGGAATTGCCTATTATGCATGTTAAGTACATAAATACACAGCGTTGGGAACATAGCACCCTGCCAAACAATCTCGTACCAGGAAAACCCTGGGAACAACGTTAACGTTGCCTGTAAAACTGTGTAAAGCTGTTCCAATCAGTTTAGAACGTTTCAAACTCACACGATTAACGAAACCCACGATTAACATAACAAGCAACATACTTTACATACATGCATATATTAAACTAAGAGGTCACAATAAAGTCACCACGCTTCATTGACACGCATACAAGATCCAATATAGGGCTGGTCGCAAACGTAAATATACAGTATATATGTCGATTATCATGGTAAAATTCTCGCTAAAATCTGTCGCTCTAAAATGGTATTTCTTCAGTTGTGGAGGAACGGTGGGATTTTTCTCTGAATATTTCAATCTTTTTATGAAACAACTTGGTTTCAACCCGGGACAGATTGGATTGACAGCACTGTTCGGGATACCGCATCTATTCATACCACTGTGTCTACTGTTCGGTGAGAAATTGCGAGCAAGAATGATTGTCGCAGTATTTGGTACCTTGGCGGCATCAGTATGTTGTATGTTACCACTTTTATCCCTGATAGTACCAGCGCTACAGCCGACATGCTATACCAAACCATACATAGCATTCAAGTCTGCTAGCAAAGCAATACAACTTAGAAACGGAACAGTGCATTTGAACTATTCAAGCTATGCATTCCGCAGTAACACGAAGCACTTTACATCGACCGAGTCTCTTGAAGCGGTACAACAACATATCTTCATTAATAGTTCGGTCGATATAACCGCCAATAACCCGTCTGCCTTCGTGATCCACCGTACAATTTCTCATTTGCCATTGAACAACCCACTGAATACCGTCTCAGTGCATTCGAAGAATTCAAACCCTACTAGAACTCGCATAACCGACTTGCAACCACATCATCCCAAAGCATATTTAACATCAACCCACACTCCATCAATACCAGAAGTTGCCTCTGGTCATAATGGCCGAATGCTCTCGAAGGATAAAACACGCCTATCTGTCTCTAAGATTCACCATTCCTTAAGATTTAACAACACCTTAACTATACAGCGTACGCGACCCTCAAACTATTCCAGCAATCCAGCCAAACCATCCTCTAAGACTCGCAATTCACAGTCTTCGCTGAGTGCTTTATTCCTAATACTAATAATCTCAAGATCTCTGACGCAGTTTTTTGATCGTATAGATCTATCCTTGGCAAACCTAGCCACGATGACTTTCATTCAAGGAAGAAACGGGAGTTATGGCGTTTATCGCATGTGGTCCTATATAGCTATCGCTCTTTCTCTTCCGTCTGTCTCTGTGCTGGCTTGGTACATTCGGATAAATATGTGTGGAGTTACGAAGTATGGTTATTTCGTAGCTTTTATATGGGGAGGAATTATGCTCTTACTTTCGATGGTATCTCTTCCCTGGTTCAAGTTTGAGTACAACGAGAAAAAAGCATTCACCTGGTCTGGAGTTAAATCTGATGTTTTTAATACGCACTACATTCTTATGTTCGTCGTTCAGTTTTATGCCGGACTGTGTTTAGCGTTTCAATGCTACTGGGAATTTTGGTACTTAGATGGATTATCTGCAAGCCCGTTATTAATTGCCGCTGCAGGTTTAGTGAGAAGGCCTTTGGTAGCGATGTCTGCGTTTCTATCAACTCATTTGATAAGAAAGATCGGTGAATTAAAGACTATATGTGTGGCAATGTTTCTTTACGCGTGCTCGTATTTTGCGCTGTCGTTCGCAAGAGTAGCTTGGTTGGTTATTGTGATTGACATGTTTCAAGCGTTTGCTCCTGCTATTAATTACTGTGCATTCACTGCAATTTTCTACAATGCTTCATCAAAAGAAAACTCAAGTATGATCCTCGGTAAGTGGTAACCAGCACGTCCTGATGTGACCAGAGAGCACGGTCTCTTCGTTTTTACTGAAATATATCACATGCATTCTTCATATAAGTGCACTTTTAAGTGTGGTGGAGATCATCATACAGACACATTGATAACCTGACCCTCACACCCCACCTCCCACTCTAACCCCTGTAGGCCTACCCAGCCTCACCGCCTCCAGGTTTTTTTTCAGGGATTTTTTAGGGCCGTTAAACGGCCCCAAAAATTCAATCTTGAATTGAGTTTTGAAACTCGATCTTCTCACCAAAGTTTCAGAGCAGTAAAAATGAAGTTGTTTGAGTTAAATTCGTGACGTGTGGAAATTAGTTTTCAGTTGGAAACCCGACAATTAAGAAAAAATGCCTGGAATTCATCTCACAGCACAAGAAAAACTATGCATTCGCCATCTTTAACCAGTTCATAGTGTCCCTCAGTGCCCCTGCTTTAACACATTCCGTCTCAACTACATTTATTGAGTACAAGTGTCAGCCCCTCGGTAGGGGGGGGGGGGGGGGCAACCACCCAGCTGTTCAGCTGAACTCAATCTTCTCTGCAAAAATGGACCCAAGAGAAAATCCTGAAAAAAAACCTGCTGTTTATATCTCTGAGATATCTCCAATGTTAAAGATGTGGTACAGTCCATATGTAAACAAAGGCTTTGTTTACATTTCGGTATTCAAAATATAGAATTTTATTCGACAAATATTTATATTTTCATGATTCTAGAGTATAATAGATTATAAAGACACAACAATCAAGCTTTGCAAGAACATAAACGAAATAAAACCTAAATAAACTGTTTGTATAAAAAGAGGGCTCCTCCTTTGACTTTGTGCACATGTGCAGATCAGACCGTACAGCATCTTTAACATAATATGAAATAATCCTACCGACCTATACTCATACATTCACCTGGCTGTGTCATGCAATACATTTCCGAGTATGCTATTTATTCTTGGGTTTCACTAAGGCATTATGCAGTAAATCTGATGGGGGGTCAACCTCACATGTATCGATGCTTATGCTGTACTGGAGTGAGAAAATGATACGAAATTCCATGTATTGCCACCAAAGTACCAAACACAAGGCTAATACATGAAACAAACAATCGTCTCACTCTGATAACTGTGTTTTGTTTTACAGTTGACTCCCCGTCACTTCTGTGACGTCATATGAAACCCAAGAATATTCTTCGATAATGCTCACAATTTCTTTCTTATATAGTTTTGCAGTTCTGACTGAGTACAATATCTGACTGAGTACAATGAATGATATCATCTGAAGCTGACATATTAATTAAATAAAAATGTCAACAAATAGATTTTGTCTCCCTATCAGATTGTTCGGTACCCTGCTAGCAAAGTCCTCTCGTATTTCTTCTCGGCACGGCACAGAGAAGCGAGAGAGACTCTGCAGAACTTGTGTATATTCTTTGTGGAGCCGACAATCCAAAAGCTTGGATAATTATGTGTAATTTCAGGTTTGATACTGGTTTTATAACCGGTTTTGATCCGAACCGGAAACCACTTATTCAATCTTCTTCTGGGAAATAGGTAGTTGTTTAGCAACCTTCGCACATGCTCCAATGAATTTATACAAAAGTTCTGCAGAGTCTCTCTCGCTTCTCCGTGCCGTACGTGCAGAGAAGAAATACGAGAGAACTTTGCTCGCAGGGTAATGGTTCGGTTGATTTGCATTAGGCCTAGGGGTAGCCTTGAAGGTGCCATGTAAATAATTATTGGGACAAAACTGACTTAGTATTTCTACAGTGTGTCTCAAAAAAAAGTGAACCCTTTCAAATTCAAATTAGCTATATTGTAGTAACTTGACAGCAATCTAATTGCATTGAATTAATAGTTGGGTAAGAACACAAGAAATATTGTATTTCTTTTAAATTTTCTAATTTTTATTTCTTTGAGTTTTGTCCATGAGTACAAGACCTTGTGTTCTTACCCAATCATTAATTCAAAGCAATTAGAGCTGTCAAATTTGAAAGGATTTGCTTTTTTTTAGACACACTGTATATATGATATTATACAGTATTCAGTGGCTAGGTAGCCATAGCAACTGGTCATGCTATCCTAATAAACCTACATATTTGAATAATGCAAGTAATTAAAAATTTGAATAGACAGACAGTATTGTAATTATGCATACAAAAGCAAGAAATTATAAGCATTGAAGGTATTCATATAAAACTGCCCAATGCCAAGAAAGTAGAACTAGAATATTTAGCTGACCTTTGACTTTGTGCAAGGTGTTTGATATTCAAATTGTAGTTTTCCTACCTCATGAACAGGTGTCTTAGGGGCTGTTTACTGTACATATTGGAAGCCAGGTGATTTTAATGTATTGAAATAAGTCAACAGAATTCAAGTTGTAGTTCAAGAAGATTATTATTGCTGTTTGAACAACCTTTAGTTTACAGTTAACTATGTAGTTTTTTGCTGAATCGTGCACAGTAATTTATTTTAGAAGTAATACATCAAAATAATCCTGTCTGGCATCTCGTCCTGGCAAAGCAGGATAATATAAACAGCCCCTTATTCCGCGAATTCTGCATGTTGCCTTTGATCCCTTGGGGGTGAGGCAGCACTTTCCTTGCGATAGTAACTTCTAGTTTAAGAATATTCTTGCAAATGAAAAATCGTCTAAAAATATCACCACAGATTAAGAGGACCAGATGTCCGACTTCAGTCAAAAAAGTGTAAGGACTTAGGTAAGGTAATTAATAGCTTTATTAGCATGACCATAAATTTACAGTATTGCTAAAGCATTACAAACAATGTATAGAAGAAACTATGATAAATTAGGACTATTACAGATTATTATTTGTGGAATGATTTATAATAGACTAATACAATATTAAGAAGAATTAAGAGGAAAGAAAGAAGACAAGTATGCTATTTACAAATTAGGTGGTTATTACAACCTTTGCTAATCCGCATTCCTGGTTTCAAGGTATTTAAATCTTTGCTTGAAACATGAATAAACAAATTTTGAAAGTTTGGTTATGATTTCACTATCAGTTGACTTCATTAGATCCGCTGATAGAGTTTGAGAGTTTAGATTAATCTCGTCAGATGAAGCATTCTCTAATGAACTTAGAAGGTTTGCACGAGATTGCTCATAGGCTTTGCAAGAGAGGAGGAGATGGGTTTTATTTTCCACCTCTCCTGAATTGCAGATTTTACATAAGCGTTCTTCACGGGTATATTTTGATAGCGCCCAATCTCAATTTGTAGGTTAATTATGGTTGCTGACTCTAAGTCTTGAAAGACATTTTCTTTTGTATGGATCTTTTATAAATACTAGGTAGTTTTCAAGGTTGTGGTCCGTTTTGAATGTTGAGTAGAAAGTCAGTTTGGATGAATTTTAATTCAAGTTTATGTTTCCAAAATGTTAAGTATTTTTCCTCAAGGGTTTTGGTAATAGTTTTATTTTTCCTCAAGGGTTTTGGTAATAGTCTTTTGTGTGTTTTTTTGGGGTTTTTTTTTGGGCTTGGTCACTGCGCATAGCTTAGCAAGTGACTAGAGGCAGTCACCCCCCCCCCCCCCCCCGACATTAAATTTCAAAATGGCGGCAAAGATTAGGAGTCGAAAGACCGCATGGTGCGTTTAAATAAAGCGGAAAATGAACTGAAAAGTATCTTAAAACTTTTTGACGTATTTAAGTGGAATATGTTAATAAATTTACGGATGCCTAGTCACGAGTCACCCGGCAAGACTGGCCCTGTCGGCCCTCAGAACAGGACATCCGATCATGTCATGTTATAGTTTGTACGTCTGCTGTTCTATCGAGTTGGAACTTTATAGTTCAATGGTTGGAACATAATCTCAATAGATTTTGTATTGTGTCTGAAGCAACGATTGGCTAGCCTGTTGGCTTTGTTATCCTGAGCAAAAAGTTAAAGTATATTATTAAATGAAAAACATTCCTTCTTAATTCAAATTATAATTTTTGTTATAAAAATATAAATTCTGCCATTCAGACTTTGATTTTTTATAATAGATTTTTAATACAATTCTTCATTGATTTAAATTATTGTTAATATTAAATATATGAAAGATCTTTGCTTGAAACGTCAACTGTTTACAAGTTGTTTTGTCCCCAAGTCATTAGATGTCAAAGTTGTTTTGCCCCACTGATAATCATTGCACAGGGAATTGTTTTTATTGTCAGGGTGTCCCAAAATAAACGAAAACTATTGAAATCACCAATAACAATTTAATTGTTAGAATTTGAATGCCATAGCACTCTGTTGGTTCCCACGAGTGCATAAATGATTGACGTAAGTAAATTTTATGCATAAAGAAACTATTTAAGAAGCTGCTTTAGATTCCCAAAAGCAGAAAATCGCGCACTTTACAAGGAGATGTTCTTAACTAAATTTTAATACATGCACCATGTCAATATTTTACGCATCATTACGTTCAGCTTTTTGGTAGGGCATTCAATTTTAACAATACGTTATTTCAATAGTTTTCGGGTTT